CACACACCCACTCACACACTCGGACCCAAACACACACTACAATGTATACAAACCTGCCACATGACAGGATTCTTAACAATGTTCTAAATGCTGTTCGTGAAGCACATGATTATGCCTTGGTGCGGATCCCACAGGGAACAAGGCCGGTACAACTGTACTTGACTATAGGAGGTCCTCATCGTGGGGAGTGGGTTACTTCACAAGCTCCGACACCCTCTCAGTGTCCGAAATTGAACAGCATCTGCGGTTTGTAGTCTCCATCAGGTGGTCAGTATCACCTCACGCTCTACTGGGATGAGGCACAGTTCATCGACGAACATCACTAGCGAGATCTGCGACCTGTGGAAGCATATGCATTCACATACCGATTAATTGATGACGACATCCTATCATGGAAGACGTCTCCGCCCTTCCCTGCTCGGTATGGTCTTGAGTGGAAAGACACTTCGGAGCAAGATGGGTCATGTCTTTTCCTTGGGGCTAGAATCCTGGTTCGGCCAGACGGCTCACTTCCCATTGGTGTGTTTGATAAGGCTGAGGCCTGGGCATTCCTTGTTATACGGTATCCAGGTGCTTCCTCTAATGCCCCAGCTCAGCAACCTGCAGGGGTCTTCACGGGACAGCTAACAAGGTTCAAATGTATCTGTAACAATACCACTGATTTCACAGCTGCAGTGACTTCCCTGACACAGCGTGTGCTTGTAAGGGGCCATCCTCCCAGTGTCTTAGCCAGATGCTGGACTGCATATGTGTGTGGCCGGCAGCGCAGCCTACCCACTTATGTTACACGTCTTTCGAACTGGTTTCACGGCATCGTGCGTTGGGCAATTCCTCACCTACTGCCGCAAGCCGACCACATGCAGCAGGCCACCACACACTTCCTAACACCAGTCCTGGCCACAGGCAGCAGCAGCAGCAGCCCCCCTCACAATCAAACGCAGCGGGCCCACCCTTTCCTGTTATTCCTGCTGAAGTGGCAAACGCTGATGAGGATACGCCGACTCAGCGCGAGACCATGCCAGCTGCAACAAATAATGTAAACGTTGTCGCAATGGCTGCAGGGGATGAAGGGCTGCATACTGGCAATGCGGTCGTCGCCTCCGCCTCACCACCCCCACCCCTGC